AAAAAAAACATCAAGCAGGAGGACAAATAAGAGGCAACAAATCTCACCATTTGCTTCCTGATTGGTGGCTGACTCATGAGGAAATGCATTCTGGGTAGCAGCCGCTGGGAAAGCGCCGGACGGAGGAAAAACGGAGGTGGGCGAGGTGACGAACGCACTGGAGTCACCTGGAGAAGCGAAACACCCACACATGCGGCGAAATTAGACACAGATCATTAATCCATGCAGAACACATCTGTCAGCTGCTCTCAGACTGACAGTAAAAGACTGTTTCCCTGTGTCTGTACCTTACACAGAGAGCCTACAGGAAACATAAAGCAGTAATGAGCCCTGCGACCAGTCAAGAGTATAACTGCATACATGAATACATGATACTGTTGAATAATTGAGGTGGAGCCGATGGAAAGCCCAGAGCTGCGAGGGTCTAAAGCTGAAAGGAAACAAACGCCAGGTTGTTTATTTGCATCATGAAACATCACAGCATTGCTGAGCATTCGTTTATCCACGTCGTGGTTAATGCACCAGAGAAGCTTGTGGGTGAAGTCAGTGACCCGGGTAAAAAGTAACGTTGCTACCATGAAACCTCAGTGGCTGTGAAAGCACGTAGCTGTGTGCGAGCTTGTGTAATCAACCGTTTAGTGTGTACACAACATACACTTCAGTGTCGCAGCTCTGTGCGTCGTTTTCACTGCCCTATAGGAAAAGAAATAAAGGCCCAGCTCATGCAGCTGATCTGGAGACTAAATGTTACCCGTTAATGGGCCGAGCAGAGGGAAAACACAGGAGCGTTTTTAACTTTTAAATAAGCACAAAAGTTACATTCAGACTCTGTAAGCAGGAACTAAATGCTTGAAATATGTAACCTATACACAGAGCAGAGGGATCAGTGTTTTATAACAGGCTGTGATTTCCTGTTTTTAAGTTTAGGCATTCACATGCCATTTAAGTCACGTACAGTCAAGCTAAAAGACAATAGTTTGAACACAAGTGTAGGTGCGCTGCCTCCTGACAAATCCATAGGCAGTGTTGGGAAGGTTACTTTTAAAATGTATTCCATTACAGAATACAGAATACATGCCCTAAAATGTATTCTGTAACGTATTCC